TATCTCATTGCAGGCTCAGGTCAGGGCTTTTATTCTGGATCCAGCTCCCATAATGCCTCTGGCTCATATTCTACAGGCCATGGCCCAGTTATTGTGACCCCTGGGGTTGCCACAATCCGCCGCACACCATCTTCAAAACCTTCTGCCCGCCGTTCAGGCTCAGTTGGGGGAACAGGCCCCATCCCTATTCGTACACCTGTCATCCCAGTGAAAATCCCTACAGTGCCCGATATGTCAGGAGCAGTTAATGGGAGCAGGAGTGCAGAGGAGATGGGGGGAGGAGTAGGAGTAGGAGGAGGAGGAGGAGGAGGAGGAGGAAGCCCAGATTCTCCAACATTTGCAGGAGGTGGGGATGCCGGCACGCTGCCTATGGTTTCTTGGAGTGGTCAGGCTACAACGAATCCTCCGACTGTACCCCTGCCCAACCAGCAGCATCTTCAGAGTGAGATAGGGCTGGAAGGAGGAGGAGAGGAGGCAGGAGAAGGGGTAGAAGGCAACATGCTGGTGGCCATCCGTAAGGGGGTCAAGCTCAAGAGAACCCTCACCAACGACCGCTCTGCACCACGCATCGCATGATGACGTGACACAAGAACCGTGAGCTCGTAGAAGTGAGGCTCCTCCTTCATTGTGTTTGTAAATGAAGTGAAAGGCTTTAGAAAAAATGTTGCACATAGAAACATGATGTACTGAATCAAAAGGCTTCTTATGCTAGTACGAGAAATCAGTTACACCTGTTCTACATGTAGCCTTGCTGTAAATTTCCACCTGTGAGAATTCCTGCAGAAGCCATTTATAATGATTCAAAGAGAAAAATATATTTAAAATATATTATCCAGGTTTGTTAAAATATTGGTTTGGACCTAAAGTGGATCATACGCACACTTGTTGTAGATCCTTGTTTAAGTTGAGCTATTGTACCAGTACAAGGTTAAGACCTTATTTCTCACATAAGTCCGCTAATAAAGGTTTTGGCCTAAGCACTAGAATGTTTTTCCAAATCCGAGCCAACAGCTGTGTAATGAAGAACAGGATGTTGCATCACACCACAGTGTGTTTTTTAAGAGGACTGTAAAGACATATTTTACACACGTATGCAGTATTCTCCCTGAAGCTGAGGGTTGGACAAGGACAACGTGTATGCTTCTTCTCAGTGTAAAGAAAAACACTGCCTATTATATGTAACAACTCAGTGTTTGGGGAGTGCATTGTGGGATGAATAAGCATTCCAACTGCCAAGAGACTTGGCAGAAGGAGCGCAGATAGCAATGCAGGTGCTACACAGCATCAAGAGAGCAATATTCAGGTGCTCTAGGAAGCAATGGCTCCTGTAGTCGCCTTTCGATCGCACCGTTCTCCTGAACTGCATTGACTGCTTACCTGGAGGACTGATCTGATGGCTAGAGGAAGGTGCTGTGTTGTCGAAAGGTGTCTTCCACTCAAAGTTCAATTATTTCATTGAGATGTCCACAAAGCCGACATGTGCAGGGGTATGACCAATATAGAGCTCCTCAAAAGGCAAATGACATGACTTTGTGTTAAAGTCAAAGTTGCAGGAGACTACGGTGTAACTAAAGCGTCACATGGTTGATGCTGTGACATTAAGAGACACTACGAGTTACGTCCTGTTTTGTTTTAGTTTTTTTAGTATTTACATGATGTGCAAATAATTTTGCATGTCTCTGTTGCTGAGGAGTGTGTTGGTGCTCCTCGCTCTCTGTATCTTTGCTATATTTCCTTCTGCTCCTCCACAGTTCCATAATCATTAGAGTTTCACTTCTTTAAACAAGGTGTTTCCTCACACAATGATCATCGTAGCCCATTGCCTTTGGATGTGAATTGGTTATTTTTTTTTTTTTACAGTATGAATCTCATTTAATCTACAATATCTACATGCTGAGCTTTGTAGAACTCCTCAGTGGTTTGTGTTCATATATTATCCTATATATATTAGCCCCTTCTTTTTTGTAGCATTTGGTAGCCATACTGCAACCTGCCGCACATTGATTGCTCATAACATTACTAATGAAAGTACAGATGAGTCAAAACTCAACAGTAATTCAAATTTATATATATGTTGTCATACATTTTGTAAAAGTTAATCTGGAAAAATATTTTTTTGATGATTTGAAAGTTATGAGTTAGACGCTGTAGTTGATAATGTCATACTGTTTTAATTGTCCCGTCTGGTTGCTGTTCTGTTGAACTCTTCGAAACACATGCAGCATGCACGCTCATGTCCGTTTAATTAATTAGGTTTTTACATTTGTCATCTCCAATTGTGGCGTTTAGATTTTTTTTAATAGCATCAAATGCTAAAATCTGGTTCGCACAGATTTTGTTACCTAAAAATTGATAGATTACATCAAAATCCATTCTATAATTAAACAAGTAAGCCTACCTTAGATACATTTTAAAATATTAAGTTTTTTTTCTTGACAATATTATGTTTTGGACATATGGGGCTTCTCCTCAGACTGCAGCATTGTAAGACTTATAGTACTAAGTAATTTGTATCCTTGAGTATAGTCTGTATGTTAATTTCAGTTCAAGCACTGTGAGGACAAGCTCTACTACAAGATGTATAAAACTGTAAATGTGATTTAGCAAGGTAGTCCAGAAACTCACACATTTTTTATTTATTTTCCAATTCTCAGTCTTTAAATCTTTTTCTTTCTCAACCTATCTCTATTTTTATACATACATAAAATATCAGAGTAATAGAGTTGATTCTTTATCCGTGCATATCTGATGATGTGTTGTTTCATCAGTGAAATGTTCATTAATATCCTGCTACTATTCATTATGTCCCTTATTTCACTCACACATGCAAAGTGTGTTCCTCTGACTTCCAGGTACCAACAGAAGTCAGAAACGTGTTCAAATGTTAAATAAGTTTTATAATGAAGAGGCTTGCTTCAGTATTATGGGTTCCGATTTTTTTGGGCAAATTATTATTTGCATGGTGCAGAGCTGATGGCAAAATACAAACTTTTAAATGTTCCCTGATGGTGATTTAATTTAAAATGTTTGCACTTCAGTTCTTTTCATATCTGATTTCAAGTTAAAACAGTTGAACAGTTTATCTGGCAACCATCTTATCTTATTAGATTTGAACATAGGGCCCGCTGCCCACAATGTCTGACTTAATCTGACCTGAGTTTCCCAAAGACATCTTAGCATGAAAATCCAGTTTGTTTAACAGGTTTCTTATATAATCGTGTCATGTGAACAGGAGGAGGCACCACAAACCATACTGAAACAAAATATTACTGCTTAGATGTTTTGGGAAATTCAGTCTTTATATTGTTAATGATGTTAATATTTTAGATTTTGTTTGTTTTTTGGCCGTCCACCTGTCTAAAACTTGTATTATAAACCTGTAATTTCCATGTTTAAATTGTTAGCATAATTATATATTATATCAGAGTTGCCAAATGTCAGTATATCCTATGAATAAGAAGTTTATAGTTTGTGAGGGTTTGAAAGTACGATTAAACCTGGTCTCTAGTTTAGTTTTCAGCTTATTTTCCCTCCGAGGAGAGTTGATCTCTCTGTCTGTCTCTGTACAGTCCAACAGGCTATGATGCAGTTTGTTTCAGGAAGTAAAAGAATGTTATTTTTTGTGTAATGACAGCTTCAGCAATATAATAAAAATATAAATTTTGCTTCGGCTCACTGACTTCTTGAATGCGCAAGTGTTCAACCTCTTACAGGCCTAAACATCTTTACATTTTCATCTCACATTCATGACTACTATATTCATTTAGGTAAATAGTTGACAAAACTGATTCGTTTCTTGAAGATTGGCCGTTGGGCAGTGACCTGTGTGTTGTTTGTGACAATGCTTTTTAGTGGCCATATTGTGGGATAGTGGATGGGAAATTTTAGTTATATATATCTATATCTATATATCTGGATGGATGGATGGATGGATGGATGGATGGATGGATGGATGGATGGATAGATAGATAGATAGATAGATAGATAGATAGATAGATAGATAGATAGATAGATAGATAGATAGATAGATAGATAGATAGATAGATAGATAGATAGATAGATAGATAGATAGATAGATAGATAGATCACATTGACATATATAGGTTCAAATGTAGCTGAACAGTATGGTATCCTAACCTCAGTTGGTGAATAAAGCCTCCATTGCCTTTGATTAGGATGTAAACAGATGATGTGCTTGCGTTTGGCCACCAGGGGACGCTCTTGTCCGAGCTTCTTTTAACACAAACCAGATTCACAGATAATGCATCCCTCCTCCCATCCTTAAGAGGCCCGAAAACACTCGTCCAATCAATAAAAGTACCACTAAAACACTGAATGTGCCACTCTCGCACAGGAGGCCGTAAAAAATAAATGAGGAAATACACGAGCAAAGCATTAGCTTAGTGAAATAAACGCTTTTTCCTCTTTTTCCCCCAAGAATTGGCTTCCCCCTCGAAACAAATAACTTCCACATGGTGTCATATTTTCTTGGGGTGTGGACTCCACGCGTATAATAGCAGAGGGAGGGATGAGCACACACCCAACAGACAATCTGTCTTACCAGTCCTACAACAGACTGAAAGCTTGTGTCTGACATTCAGCATACTGCATGATAATTATATTCTTGTTCAATATTTATACTATATTATAATATTCCAAATATGCTCTTTCTTCTTCGGCATTAGAATAGGCTAATATTCATATTTTATGTATAGCAATTAGACATTAACTAGATGGATTATTATCCAATCTATCTATATTACAATCTGATCACAGGAGGTTAACCAAGTCATTCATTATAGAGCGATAGCGCGCACATCATATCAAATATTACAGTTTTTTTATTCTCACACTTTCAACTTGCATTACACAGGGCCACATTCGCGTTGTGTTTCGTTATGGCAGAGGTATAAAGTGAATATAACCGACTGTCCATTGTGCCTATGTGCTGAATGTACGTACGTGAGCTGGTGCCGTCACTGTTACGCACGGCGGAGAGCAGCGCTGCTATTGGAAAATATTTTCGGGTCTGCTGGTGCCCTCCCATCCGCCTCACGCCATCCTGTCAGCCAGAGGTTACAGCAGTCGGGATTACGCTCGCAAAAATGTGATTTTGTACAAATCCTACATCCAGTTAGGTGTTCTGAGGTTTGCCTGCAGCTGTCTGCTGAACAACAGCCGGTAAATAAGAACCGAGCGAGCGGAGCAGCTTCAGTATTTCCAAGGTTTTCTTGTGGAGGTTGTTGGACGGGACAGCGGAGCATCGACTGAGGTGCGTCCGATCAGATAAGTTGCAGTTTAATTAAGAGCTGTCGCATCTTTTTCCTACTTGATGTTTCCCAATAGGCGGGTGGAATAGGTTTGAATCGATGTGTTCTTTAATATTGTGTAAGTGTTATTGTCAGGCCCGTGTTTTGCCCTTAAGTAACCCAGGCTGCCTCCAGATGGACGCTGTGAAGGATGGTTTCGTGCGATCGTCGCAGCGATCACTTCAAATGATATTTTAGAATTATAGCAGAATTATATCAATCATTGTGGATGAGTGCAGGCTCACAGTGGTAACCAGGCCTGTTATATTGTCCTCCGCTGGTCTCCATCAGGTTCCCGGCGGTTTTGCTCTACCCCCCATCCCAGAGATGTTGCCCTGCCTGCGGAGAGTCCTTCGGCCCGCCCTCTCTCTGAGAGCCGGGTCTGGGTTGGCCACAGCCGGACTCAGCAACCACCAAACATCCGCCATAGCTCGGTTCGCCTCGGAGCCCCCGCTCTCCATGCTGGTGCAGCGGTGTAACCTGGGCACACACCCGCTGAAGGAGCCCGTGGAGCCCCTCAACTCGCCCCGGGGAGCCAAGGAGTTTATTTATAGCCTGCATCCAACTGAGCGCACCTGTCTGCTGCGAGAACTGCACAAGTTCGAGTCCATAGCCATAGCTCAAGGTAGGTGATGTGGTACAGTACAGCTTACAGTATTGGATGTAGTTTTATTTTAAGTGGCATACAGCAGGAAATACAGCTATCCTTTTTAAGCCATACAAGTAATGAATGGTCTTAATATACAACATATACACATCATCTGTTAATAATGACCATAAATTATTAATCAGAAAATTCTTGATCTTTATTGAAAGAAATAATAAAGTGATGATAATGTTTTTTTCATCAGTATTCACCTATCCGCCTAATTATCACTGCCATAAGCTACAGTTCTGGGCTGCAGCATCGGGGAACAGGCTGTAATAGGACAAAGTACCCTGCTGTGTGGTTAAAGGAATAATGTTGGTAACAACAAGGCTTTGATTTTAATCTCCTGAAAGGTAATGGAAGTCTAAAAATAGTTGGAAGTTGCCGTTTGAAGACTCTGGTTAGTTAAAACATCACACCATAGTTCCACTGAGACGCTAAATCCCAGAAGGCTGTTCTGCAGCTGACCCTGATCTCTGACCTCCGACATGCTCGTGTGCAGAGAGAATCTATCGGCAGGGATCAATAAAGTATGTCACCATTATTGTAACTCTTACTTCCACATCTGTCACACGGTATTTCAGCAGAGAGTAGACTACAGTATCCGGACGCGCAGATGTTTGAATACAGTATCAGATCATTTCCAAAAGTGTGAATAGGACTATGTGTTGGATTCGTCATCATCACAAGGGTTTGGTTCCCACCCTTTTTGTTCTCACCTGATTCTTCCAAAGACCTAGTAGACATGTAGTCCGGTGGTGGGCTGGTGATGTGTGATTTCTGCAGGGTGAGTCTGTAAGTGCGTCTAATAAGGTAAAACATCCAGTACGGCAACCAGTAATAGTCAGTATTCCATTTTTGAACAAAACCTTTATGCCAACCTTTGAACATACTAGGCCAAGGACGCAGCACTGTGCCGTCATTCTGTCTCTATTTGATATTAGCTGGACAGTACATATTCATTTAGAGACTCCAGCGTATTCAGCTCTTAAAAAAAGGTTTTACTGCAGTGCTGTTTACACAGAACTATTTCTGATTCCTCCTAGTACGGCAGGTTATGGTGAAAAGGCAGTTAGAGTAGCAGGTTTGTCAGTCTGCTGTATGAGCGCAAACATTAGATGGGTTCCATAAAACATAAGAATGAGATTATAAGAGATGTAGGACGACTATGGTGGATGACCCACAGTCAGAGAGTAAAAGAAGGAAGTGGGTCAATCAATACCAAGATAGAATAGATGAAGGGAAGACATGAGTGATGATGAAGATGCTCTACAGTAAATGAGGTTCTCTCTGGGAATATGCTGCTCTGAGCTCCTGTCACCCTCTATATTTCTCTCCAGCAATAAATTGAAGAGACTATTCTTAAAAATAGATGCTCATAATTTTGTTTCATCCCCACCACGTTGTGCAATATTGGATTTAAATGAGTATAATAAAAATAAGTATACAGTGGAAACGTAATCAAATAGAAATATCCGATTCATTGTACTGAGCCTGCACTGTTGCTTTATTCCTGTGGGGTTGGGGGGGAAGTAAGTAGGGTTTTCAGAGGAGCCTTATTTACTCTAGTGTCTCATGATGGACACATGATTTCCATCTTGTGGGACACCCTGCAGGGTAGCCTCAGATGTCTCTCAGCCTCAGAAGATTTGAAATCCAACTAATCCCTAAATTCTCTCAGTTCCTCCACACCAACAATTTGAAGTTTGTGGCCTTATTTTAATGGAATAAACTCCAAACAGTCAACTGCTGGACTCTCTGTGCGCTGTACACCAGGCTCCTTTACACCATATAGCGATAGACTGCTGAATGTTGAACATACATGCATCAGTTGCTATGAATAGTGCCGTGGCTGTACTGTCAGTACAGGTAGCAACAATGTGTGCAAATCACAGCCCTGACTATCGTTGTTAATATAAGCTTGCCTCAGACATTGTGGCTTTAAAAAATGTTTCATGTTTGTTCAGTTTACAGTTTAAGATTTCAGCTCCTCTAAATGTTTTGGAGACATTTATTTCCCACCAAAAGATACATTCTAAAAGAGTTTGTTTGGGAGCGAAAACACAAAGAAAAGTTGCATAATTATTTCTGTTTGCTGGTATTATAAATTCACAATCCTGCATCAAAAACATTAATATAACTGCGGGAGGGAAGCGTGTCGCTGTCGGCTACATTATGTGTGATTGTATTGATTCTTTATGTTATTGATCGGGTCATAGCTGTCAGTTAGCTCACTCCATGTACACTAAAACAGGTCAATGATGCTTGTGGTGACTGATAACATCTTCAGTGGTTATTGTAGTAATTTCAGCAGTTGAATTAATGCTGAAAGTGCTGATTACAGAGAGAGGTAGCAATGGCGGTGAAGACAATGTGATGATGATAGTTAACTTTACAGTTATTGAGCAGTTAAACAGTAGGGTAGTATTATTATATTATTATGTTTTTTATTGACTAGACCATCACATACAGTTTAGTGTTAACACCTTTAGTGATAGGTATTGTTCTCTAAAATTAGATCCTGTTCGATTCCTGCACAGTCCTTCCAGGAACTAAACTGTTTCCCAGAGTGCGCAGAGGAAATTGACTAGTTTTTATTTAAAAAAAACAACTATCACCCTATTTGAAATACCTCTCTCTTCCTCATTCCCACTCTATATCCAGACTCTGGGGAATGGAAGTCTTATCCATCAATATGAGGCATTTCAATAAGATCATCCATGCCCAGCAATCCTAATAGTAAATCATTATTTTCTTGTCGGATGTGGCTGATTGCATCCTGACCACAGGCTGCGAGCCTACACCTATGTGCCACAAATACTCTGCAATATCACCATTGAGCAAACAGCGCTAAATCCCTTGTGAGCTTTGTGGTGGAGGGTTTTATATTACCCAGCTGAGGCAGAACTGGACCACTGAAATATGTCCAAGTTGTACTTACTTACTTACTTACTTACTTATGAATACAGATATTGTTGCAGAATCACAGATAATAATGTCTTATTAAAAACCAGAGAGTGTGGCATGAAAATGGAGAGATGTTATGACATTTTGACTCAGAACTTCCCCTCCTGTGAAATGTATCAGAGACCTTAAGTGGTGTTTTTGTGTCCACCCCAGACAAATGGAGTAGTATTGCTGAGTTGACGTCATATTGTTTTAGGATTTAAAACCAACACTAATTCTCAACCAAAGACAAGAGAATAATGTGAGTTAGTGTAGTGAAGTGACTATATATACAGACCACAGCTACCTCCTTCCTCTGCTCTCACCTATGGTTCCTGCCTGGCTGGAGGTCGCTGACATCCTCACCTTCTTGCTATAAAAACCCTCAGGGATTGTCTTACATACTGTATATGCTGGCTGCAGACGAGCTGAATCAGTGTTTGCTGGACTGGTCTCACTCTCTCGCCGACTTGCTGGCTGAGAGATTGATTTTTTTGACAGGCTTATCAGCATCCATCATCATTCTACCCAGAGGCTGCAGGACACCTGAAGCAAACCCTTATTTTCCTGACGTTTATATATGCAGGTGTGCTGAAAGGAGAGGCAGCTGGATGTCTGCCTGTGGTTGAAGCTCACTGACAAATCTCAGCGCTGGGCAGTCTTCAGGGTTAATGAAGTCTGTTGCAGTATGTCTATGCCGGTTTTGTGGCCATGTTTACTGGATGCATTCACCTTCATTCTGGATTTTGGTCATAAATTTACATGTGATATTACCCTGTCAAACCAACACAGATTGCAGTCTTGTTGTGCATCTGCTATTTAAAGTATAAATCATTCATGGATTTTTGGCTACGTGGAAGCACAATAAGCCATAAGCACAACATTGACATATTATCACACAGAGCAACATTAGCATTCATTTTGAGTTGTATTTCTGGTCATATGCCAATGTTCACTCTCCTTTTAGCTCTGTTTTTGGTCTCCACCAACTGATTAAAATACTTTGTCTGCAGTTTGGTGTACATGTAGCGTACAGTCTGTTTATCTGCTGCAGCTGGAAACGAGTTGATCACCCAACAGTAAAGTTTTGGGGCGTAAAACCAAACCAATCAGCTGAAAGATGCTAAAACACTGAGGAGAACTGCAGAGTATGTAGAAAAATGTCTGCTTCGTTCCATTGTTTGCGTAAAAAGCTAGATTCAGGAAAGCAAATAGTTTAGAAAACAGAGGTGAGGTGGGGACGCAGATGGTGGGTGGAGGCAGCAATATCTAGAGAGGAGTAAACCAACAGGAAGAGAAAGGATGGAGGGGAGAGAAGTAACAATGAGGGATAGCACTAACAACGTTGTGAAGTGACTCAGACATATTTAATGAGAATATCAATACCAGTTTTATCATTCTAGGACATGATAGGCTCACGATATCAACAACATTCAAACATAAACAGATGGTTAAAAGGCAATGAAGGGAAATATTGTGACTTTCTCTTTATGAAATGTTTATTTACAGCCTTCCTGATAGTTTAGAAGAATAAAACTCAAAGTCTTTTACATTTGTGACCTACAGTACATTTAAAGTGTGAATCTCGATGACTTCCCATTGTCATGTTTGAGTTCTCAGCAATTACACTATCAGAGACCAGATATAAAGGCTTCACTTTAGGAAAAACAGAATCTGTATTACCAGAAGTAAATGCTGACCCATACACATTTTATATAATATTTAATATAAAGGCATTTTGTACACTTCACAAAAAGTTCTTATAAAGATTAGGTTAAAGCAGAGAGAAAGGAAGCAGAGTTTTAGAGGAGAAGTAATTTGAGATGCAGCAGAAGAAATGAATGAATAGGCGACTAGAGATCCTCCTGTTCCATCTGGACCTCTGTGGCCATCAGCGTTCAGTTAGTGAGTGAGTCAGTGACATCCACTGTACTAACGTGGTTTTCCCACAGGCCTTCTGGTGAAAAGGAAAATGTGAGAGGAGACGAGATAGAAGCTCCATGCCTCAGAGGATGGAGAACTACTGCAGA